GGGAGGGTGGGGCTGGACAGATTTGGGGATGACCCTGCAGGACACGGGGACAGCTCGCGGTGCCACCCAGAGAGGGGTGACACGGCCGAGCCCCCCCCTCCGACCCCCATCACTGCGAGGGGACACCCCAAAAAGAGGAGCAGGGAGGGGACACGGGCAGTGTCACCTGCTGTCACCGCACGGGGCCGGTGGCACCCCCAGCTCAGGGCCCTGGGGGGAAACTGAGGCAGGGCAGGGTGGGGAGGGGTCCACGGGATGGGGGGGGGGTCCGGACCCCCAAATCCGGCTCGTGCCCCCCCCGAGCAGCGCCCCAGTTCTCACCATCCCCCCCTGGGGACCCCAAATTCTCTCACCCTCCCTCCTGGGGACCCCAGGCTCTTTGTCCCCTTCCTGGGGACCCCAAATTCTCTGTCCATCCCCTCCTGGGGACCCCAAACTCTCTCTCCCCGTCCTGGGGACCCCCAATTCTCTCTCTCCTGTTGGGGACCCCGCTCTGCTGCCACCGAGCCGGGTGGTGGCCCCAGGTGGCCACACTCCGAGCCACACTCGCCACCCCTCCGCTGGCACTGGGGGGTCCTCGCCCCTCACCCCCAGCACCCGCAGCTGGGGGGGGGGGACACGGTAGGACCCTCCCCGCTCATCCTCATCCTCATCCTCATCCTCATCCTCATCCTCATCCTCATCCTCATCCTCCTCATCCTCCCCAGAGCCCCCCTTGTCCCCTGCAGCCCTCAGGATGGGGGGAGGTGACAGGAGGGGGTCCCCGGGGGTCCCCAAGCGGGGTCACCCCGTGCCCGTTCTGGGACCGGGGCCGGAGGGGTTTGGGGGGTCCCGTGGGGGGGGGGGGTCCACGAACTGTCCCCCCTCCCCACGGCCCCTGGGGGGGCTCTGGGGACAGCGGGGACCGCTCCTGGTGTCCCCAAAACCGGGGTGGGGGGGGGGCTGCACCCCCTCGTGTCCCCGCTGTCCCCACGGTGTCACCCCCGGCCCTCAGCGGTGCCCGGAACCCCCCGGAGCCCCTCGGAGCCCCCCCGTTCTCGCTCTCCGGTGTCCCCCCGGTGTCCCCCGGTGTCCCCAAGGTGTCACCCCGGTGTCCCCCGGTGTCCCCACGGTGTC